CCTTCTTCTTCTTCTTCTTCTCCTTCTCCTTCTTCTTCTCCTTCTTCTTCTCCAGACTCACTTGCCGAATCACTACTGTAATTTATCACACAGTTTTTCATTACCCTATTTTCGATATTTTGAAAAATTGTTATCCTTTGTTTTTCTTCTTCTTCATCGTCTGAACTATGGGTCTTGTTTTCTTTTAACGTTTCATCATCTTTAATGTTCGATGATTGGTTATTACACTCTTTCTCCATTTGACGAATTTTAAAATTGTTAATTCTTTTTATTCACGAAACAGGCAATCAAAATTATGTTAAATTGATTGGTTTCTAAAATGAAATTACACAATCGTGTAATTATATAATCAATTTATAATTTTAATTCGATTAATTATTACACTATTTGATGTGTAACAAATTTAAAAAATTAATTATCAAATCAGAATAATTAATCCGGATTTTGATTATTATAAATTGTGTTTATTTTATTGTGTATATTAAAAATATTTATTTTTACAGAGTGTACAAAACTGTAAAACACGGCGATTATTTAGATCGAAATCATCACCATGTTTTTGCAATATTTTTGACTTTTTCAATTAGTAAACATAGTTAGACAAAAACAAAGTGTTATTTAAAAATGTTTTTTTTCAAAATTTTATTAAGGTATTACCCTTTTCAGGGTTTTTTGGAAATGTGGAAATAAAGTTGATAAGGTTATCAATAATTTGCATAGTTTTGATTAATAATTAATTTTGTCATAAAGTGAACTATCGAAACCCAAATAATATATTAATACTATTGATATATTTACTTAAAAATATAAATTCAATTCAAAACAATAAATAGTTTAATAACTATGTATATATTAAACGATATTTTAGTTTAAAATATATTTTTGTAACTATATAATACAAACTATCAAATACTATCGAAAACCACACGTCTCAATTTACCCGGGGTTAGGTCCGAATCTAATTATTTTTAAACAAAAAGAAAAAATCAGCCAGTTAAAAATATTTTATTCTTTTTTTTGGACAAAAATAATTAAAAATAATTTAAATGAAACATAATAAAACATTTGTGTTTATAAATAAGTGTGGTAATATTTTTTTGTTTTTGTGTTTGAATATTTACCATACAGTCGTTATTGTCATTATAAACAAAAATATTAAAAAAACAAAAATAAAAATAAAATTTGTTATATTTTATTCTTAGTGGTTTTTTAAAAATATAATAATATTATAAATGACACATTTTTCATTATTTCACCAACACAAAAAAATATAAAAATTGTAAATTACTTCGACATAATTATCATTTTAATTGTTTAATTGAATTATCATGTAATTCAACAAATTTAATTATTTTACTCCAATTGATCGTTTTTATAATTAATGGAAGATGAAAAACTTACATGTTGCTTATCAGCGATTTGTGTGAATTGTGCTAACATTACCATAATTAATCGACACACAACGAACCACTTAGATAAAATTAAATAATTGAATTGGTGTTAATTTGTCATTTGAAAACAGTGAACTGTATATAACAAGACTTGCCACAATTAAAACATTTGAAATTTACAACAGCATTATCGTTCGTGGTGGAAATATATAGATATTTTTCAATGCAAAAATACAATATAAGTTGGTAAAAAGTTTATATTAGTTTGGTTCAAATTAAAGCACAAAATGATAAACAATATTTTAATTTTAATTTTTAAAATCTGGGTGTATTAGTTAATGTATAACATATAAAGTTAAATGATAATTATAAGACTGTAATATATTTGTTTATATTAAAATAATAAAATATTTTTATTTTTGTTTTAATTAATGTTTGTAATATTCCTGAGTCTATTTTGCCACAATAAAAAAACATGTATTATTATGTTGAACTGCCTCATTTTTGCTTTTGAAATTATTTTTTGTTGTTAAATTTAATAACATTTGAATTAATTATTTTTTTTATTTTGTTATTACATTTTTTTTCTTCCAAAATCAAATTGCCATAAAATTAAAATTTAAACAATAAACAAAAGATTATTATATCAATTACAATAATTTGCAATTTGCTTTTTGATTTTATAAAACACTACATCAGTATTTTTTTAAATGATTACCGTTATTTTTCATTGTAAAAAACGAAGGTTTTTTGAGATGTATGGAGCTGGTGTTAACTTTTCCTATATTTAAGTATTTATAAAAAAAAGACTTAAAAACGAAAAAACATTCTATAAAATAACACTGAAGCATTTTGGGCTTCGGCATTAACCGGATTTTTGTTTGCACGAAAAACACGTGACTGATCCCAAAAGTCTATTTGTAGCACAATTGGCTAATCATTTTATAGGGGGTCTATAAACTGGTTGGGATCCATAAACTAGTTGGGGAATGCTCCGAAACTTCGAAATTAATCCAATGTAAAACATAATCAATTAATATTTATTGTCATTATTCAAAAAAACAAAAACCCTTAATTTTTCTTTATCGCTCACTTTTTGGAACAATTTTGATTTGTTTGTTTGTGGTAGGAAAATGGATTTATTAACTGGCCAATAAAATGAACGCTTTTTGTAAGTCAAGTATTGTATTTGTAAATTTTAAAAATAATTTTTTTTACAAATATTGTTTTGTAACAAACCCGTTGCGAAGTGACGGGTAAAATTTGCAATAATTTTTGTTTTTTGGAACGAAAAATGAAACCTTTGTTTTTGTATTTATCTAAAAAATAGTCATGGTTTCTTTTAACGATGATATTTATTTTAATATGTTTAAACACAAAGTGTTATATATGATACAAGTGGGATAAGGTTATAATATTATTGTTCGTCATAAAGGGTAATATGTTAAAATATGTGTTATAAAAAGTTAAAAAACGAATCCTTGTTAAAATAATTTATATTTTTTATTTTGAAAAATTGGAATTTTCAAAAATGTTGTAATGGACTCTTGAG